CGCACCGCCCAACGGCCTGAGGGCGTTCCCCCGTCTTTTCTGCTGAGTCGTTCCACCTGTTTGGCTGTCGTTCTGTCTGTTCTGTCGTTCTGTCTGTTCCGTCGTCTTGTCTGTTCCGTCGTTCTGGCTGTCCGGTCTTGTTTCTGTCTCTGCTGTCGTTCTCCTTGCTTGGTCGTCTTGTCTGTTCCGTCGCTCTCTCTGTTCCGTTGGTCGTTCTGTCTGCTGCGCCGTTCTGCTTGTTCGGCTGTCTTGTCTGTTCAGCCTCTCCGGCGCGCCTGTTCGTTCGCTCTGCTTGTCTTGCGTGTCCCGTCGTTCTGTCTGTTCCGGCGTCTTGCCTGTTCAGTCGTCCCGCCTGCTCAGTCGTCCCGCTTGTCTATCAAGTTGCGCGGCCTATCCATTCGCCCGGCCCGTTCAGCCGGTCCGCCTGTCCAGTGGTTCTGCCTGTTCCGGCGTTCCGCCTGCTCCGTCTTTTTGGCCGTATACTCGGCCGGGCCAGTCGTTTCGGCTGTTCAGTCGCCGCGCCGATGTGCAAGCGGAGCAAAGTAGCGACGCACCTGCGCACCGCGACAGCGCGACGCGGTGGCGGGGTGCGTAGTATCCCCGGAGGCTTGCGCGCTTGTGGCCTGTGCTCTTACTGTGTTGGGTGGCGAAACACGTCCAAACACTCCAAGGCGGCGAAGGTTTTTTGGGTGCCGTTATTGGCTCCGCCTGGGTCGCTTGTCGGTTTCGGCTTTTGAACACTTAGGGAGCAAACCCGCCAAAAAGCGAGACACGCGGCGAGGCCTCACAGATGGGGAACGGCCACAACGCAAAACACAAACGCGGGAAAAAGGCCAAAAAAGTGAAGACAAAACGCAAAAAGCCCCCGGCCGTTTTGCAAGTCCCTCAGCGGTTTCGGCTTGCCTGAATTCTGTCCCTTAACAGCTTCGAACTTCATGCGGGTGCCGGTTTCGAGTGGGTCCCCGCGAAACTCTTGGGCGAAACCGCCAAGGGGCGGCGCTGCTTCGGTTTCCTTGTGGATTTCTCTGCCCCCTTTTTTCCCCGTTTGCCTCCCCCGGTCTTGCTCAAGGCGTGGCCGCGTTTTGCTTTTGCGCCGTCCGCTTTGTTATTGGTTTCGCGTGCTGCCTTCTCTCCTTTTCTGTGCTTTTCTGGCGTCTGCTTATCGGTTTCGCGTCGGCTGCTTTCCCTCCTTTGTTTCTCGCGCCTCCTCGCGTCCCTCTCTAGATAGTGCCACGGGCCGGCCACCTCTGCGCCGCGGTCTTGTTGTGATATCTTGGGAGACGCTTGCGCGCCATCGGAGTCCCCCCCGCGAAGCTCTTAAGTGAAACCGCTAAGGGAGAGCGCTGCCCCGGTTCCCTTTTGGATTTCTTTGCTTCCTCTTGTCTTCATTTGCTTCCCCCGACCCTGCCCAAGGCGTGGCCGCGGTTTGCTCTTGTGCCGTCCATTTTGCCACCGGTTTCGCCTGTTGCCTTCTCTTCTTTTCTGTGCTTCTCTGGCGTCTGGTCATCGGCTTCGCTGCGGCTGGGCAGCGGTCCCGGGACGCAGAGCGGGCATCTTTTGCCGCCTCGGTCCTGCGTGTGGCTCACTACACCGCGAAGGCCTTGGGCGGGGGTGGCGTGGGCGCTGGATGCTCTGACAGCCTCGCAGTGGAGCGGATCCCGCCAAGTTCTTAATCGGCGGCCAATGGGAACCAGAAGCAAGAGCCACGGCGATAGGGAACGGCTTTTACAAGCAGTAGGCTACTCTCTTCCAGTTTGTTTCGCTTTCTGATTCTCGGACAGGGGTGGAGTCGCTGACACAAGAACCAGAAAGGGCCTCGCATTTTCGGGGCCCTCGTCCTGTTAAAGAGCCAGGGGGCCAGCAAATGCTTGCCCCAAGACATTGGCGCCCTTTTTTTTTATTTTTTTCTTCAGTTTAAATTTTTTGAGGCTTCAGACTACTGCTAAGACTTTTAGCCTTTTTGACTGCGTTGCCCCGGTCTTTTTTCTATGCCTAAATTTGGAACACCCAAAAAAAGGCAAGAGGTGAAACCATCGCAACGCTTTAAGAGACGAAGAGCCGAGCTCGCTCCCGTTTATGCTAGGGAAGCCAAAACACCCACAAAGCCACAAAAAGGGAGCACCAAAACCAACAACACCAAAAGGAGAAAGGAGAAGACTTCAAAGGAGGCGAAAGAACAAAACGAAAACCGAGCGGCCTGGAGCGTCGTGTGGGCAATATATAGCGGGTCGACGTTGGTGGGGGAATTGGTCGGCCCCCTCCTCATCTGCCCCGCTGCCAACCCACTTGCCCACCCACTACTTACCCACCAGATGGCCCCTTCCCGTCCAAAAAACCTATCTACCGCCTCCCCCCACCACTTGTCCACTTCTCGACCCACTTAGCCACGCACCTACATGCCCGCTTGCCCACCCATTTGCCCCCCGCCCCCCCCCCGGAAACTAGCCACGCCCCCACGCGCCTACCCACCAAGCGACCCAGCAACCTAGCTACCGACGCGCCCACCTTCGTGCGCACCCACTTTCCCGGAGGCGCTGCGCCACCCCTCCCGCCCCCCGCGTCGCTCCTCGGTCTTTGCTCCTTGCTTTCCGCTGTCAAGTGGCCGCCGCTGAGGCTCCGGCGGTCGCGTGGAGAGGTTTCGGGGGCTTTGTTTTCCCCCTCGAGCCTCGTCAAGGCTGGCCCCCGGTGCCCCACCAGGCTCCCGCCCTCGGCAAGGCAGTCCAAAGACTAGCAGGAACCGTACGGAGGCCCCACTAGATTCCCGCTGGCAAGAAGGTAACCAGGGAACAACTAGAGGGGACCACGCCGAAGCCCGACGAGCCTCTGCGGCCGCGGCTTGAGGCCTACCGGCCCGCGATGGTTCGACGACTTGCGCGGGCCGCCGTCGGCTGGCTCCTCCCGTGGGGGTCTTGGGCTCTTCTTCGGCGAGTTCGTGGGGGGAACTCCCGGAAAACCGGGGAGAGAAACGGCTCTCCGCCACCAATTCAAGAGGGAGCCCGCTTCTCTTGTCTGATCTTAAAAATGGGAAAGACGGTTTTTTTATCACTAGGGGAAGCAGCTTATGGCGGGCTTAAAACGTTATTTTAGCAAAACATTAAAAGTTGTTTTTTGAAATCTTCAATAGCTATCTTAAGTAGCTACTTAAACTAGACTAGTTGAGGAGGCTGCTGGAGGGCTGTTCCGGATCGCTGGCGTCGGAGGTGGGAAGCCGGTGCTTGCAAGAGAGGGAGCCATCAGGGCTCGAGAAGAGGACGAGACGGGTCTGGAACGTAGTCGCGGCGTCGGACAAAGCCGCAGCAGAAGCTCCAGGTCCGACCTCCCCTTCCGAGCCCTGAAGCGGCATCAGGTCAGATCTGGCCCTGATGGTCCCCTCTTCCGCAGCCAGCGGCTGCCTCCACCACCAAACCACCGATCCGCAGCAGCAATCCAACAGCCTCCTTTAATAGCTACCTTAACAACATAGTTAAAACCTAGATAAGAAATTTTGAAAATATAATTTCTAACAATTATCTGCTAAAGTAGTAACGCTTTAAGACTGCCGCACAGCTCCTGGAAGGGCTGGGAGGAGTTCCCCGTAGTGCGAAGTAGCCTCCTCGGGCTCCCTGGTGGGTCCTCCTTGGAATGGTCTTCCAAATTGAATGACCTGACGGGAGCGCGGCGCAACGAGTGCGGGCCTTTGCAATTCCGGGAGCTACTGCAAGAAGAAACAGGCGAGTCGCGCCAAACACTGCCACCCGTGAACACCCTGATCAGCGCCCCGCCAACTCCCCGCGCCCCTCCAGAATTCGCCGAAGCGTTGTGCCCCTGCCCGTGGTGTTGTGCTGGACTCTGGAGGGGCGTCGGGGATAGGTTGGAGCAGGGCGCGGCCCCGTGTGCGACTGGGTCGTCGTGGGTCATTCATCAAAACCAATGACTGCGAGACTGGTGTTTACATGTGTTGCCTCCTACCATATGCCCAGTTCCTCGCTTTTCTGAACTTCGATCTAACTTAACCTGAAGTTTGTCAGGTCTCTAGTAAAGTGAACTTGACCGCCGAGGGCGAGGCTGACGAAACACTGCGACGCCCTTATGGCAGTCGGCGCTGGACTTCGTGCGAGATTTATTGCGCTGCATTGTCTTGTAGTCTCTGTTTACTCAGGTCATCTGCCTCGGTGCTCGTAGACTTTACACAGGTCACCCATCATCCTCGGGGGCGAGCAGGTGCCGGCGGGGCTCGTGGTGGAGGGTTCATAAGCGAACCTAACCTCTTTGATAGCGACTGATTTCTGGCGATGAGAGCATAGGGAGTCTCCTGCATTGTGTGAAGTAGAGAGAGCTGTCTTGTTTCCGAAGAAGCGTGAAGAGCGAAGTTGTGAAATAGAAAGCGTGGGGAGGGCGTAGCCGTCGTGAGTGAAACCCTTTTGTCTGTCAGTCGTGGGGCAGCATCTGTTGAGTGCTTCCACAAGAGTACTCAAGTACTCAGTCTACTCGAAAGTCAAACATCCGTTGAGTACTTAAAACTGTATCCTCAAATCTCAAGATCTTCCTTCCTAAAAGATCATGCGGCTGAAGATCATGGTACACTTCTGTAAAAATATTTACTCTGATGTGAGCTCTCGAGAGCTCGTTATTGCCATCTGTTGAGTGATGACACGTCAAGGATGCTTGATATGTAGCAGATTAGACGAAAAGGGTCTGTTGAGGTCGTAAAGGATGACACGATAAGGGTCTGTTGAGGTCGTAAAGGATGACACGAAAAGGGTCTGTTGAGGTCGTAAAGGATGACACGAAAAGGGTCTGTTGAGGTCGTAAAGGATGACACGAAAAGGGTCTGTTGAGGTCGTAAAGGATGACACGAAAAGGGTCTGTTGAGGTCGTAAAGGATGACACGTGAAGAACGCTATCTGGAACCAGAGTGCTCAGACGTATAGCTATGGATGGATTGCTCCGATTGCTAGTGCTTTGACATCCTATCATGATCCAAAACTTTGAGACATGAAGTAGCCCACTAATCAAAACTCAGGCAGCACAGCTCCAACAATCTTCTTTGTTAACACGTGCTCTCATTATTCTTTTTGGCGGAACTGAAGAAATTTTGGAGGAACTTCTTCTCCATCTAGATCTTCTCCATCTAGCTCCTCCATCTTCTTCTCCATCTAGCTAGTACTCTTTTTACTCAAATAATTGCCTCGGTCGTGGTGGTGTGGTCTTTTTAGAGGAACTTCAACTTTTTGCATGTTTGAGAAGCAAGTCTCGAGCTCGACGAGGACACGCCTGTTGCTGGTCTATACTTTCGTATACTTCTAGCTCTAGATGTAGATGCTTTTCAGAGAACTACTAAGAGAAACTGTTACCTAGGAACATTTTGAGTTGTTGGATAATTTATCGTCGCTTGTTCTAGAGACGAGAGTTCTTAGACTGTTGTGGGGACACCGATCCAGAGAGTAGATGCATTTAGAAGTAGTTTTTCTAAACGCCTGATCGACTTTAAACCAATTATTTTTAAACCATGGGTTGGGGTGGCACGAGTAGTGGCGCGAGCACGCCACGCTGCTTAGGGCTGATTTCGACGCCACGTGCGATTCTAAGTGGCCTGCTGACGCCTGGAAGTGGAGGTGGAGCCTCTAGTGTGCCAGCTCCTTCCGGCGTCATTACTCCTAGAGGCGGCACCAGTCTCCTGACTCCTCGCAGTCTCGTTGCAGCGGCTCAACAAAGATTACAAAAACCAATCTGCAGTTCCACTGGCTTCAACCACTATTAAGAGGAGGACTCAAGAACTTGAGATATTCTTCTAATTGAGATATCATTTCTACTTTTCATTTCTGAACACTGTTTTTTCTTCTTTGGAGAGTGAGAAAATGGAAGCAAGAAGTGGAGGAGTGTTTAAGCAAGTACTCTACCAAAAAGTGTTTTCGACTTCAACCATTTCAACTTCAACATTTTTTGGAAGTATAATGTTTTGAGCTCTAACACAACTTTTTGCCAAGGCTGTGTGGAGTGCGAGAGAATAAGAAAGTAGTATTGGTCAACGAAGAAGACGATGAAATGTCGAATCGGCGAAAACGAGTACGACTATTCGACCCAAGCCTGTTCGGGGAAGACGTCACGCATTTGAAGTTAAGAAGCTTTAGCTTTTAGTAGCTTTAGCTTTAGTAGGAGAGCTAAGTCTAGCTTTAGTAGTAGATGGCAGTAGACGAGGACTTAGCTTTAGATAGACCATGGTTGTTGAGAAAGCGTGTGGTCACGAAAAACCTATCGTCGAGGTAGAAGACGAGTTTGTTCTTGTCCTTCTCAAAAAAAGGCCCAACGTCTAATACAAGTGCGCGTTTCGATTCTGCTCACTTCGCCAGAGGATGTGGAAGCTTTTCCCGCACTCGCTGAAGAGCAACGAAAGCAAAGTCCTCTCATCGTCGCAGAAGTGTCACTGGCTCTCGAAGAAGGCAAGGACTACCCGATCCGCACACCTGGAGATTTGAAACCACTGCTACTGAAAGGCGCGAAGCAAAAAATTTCGGCATATCAAGACGTGCTGGATCGCTTTTTTCCGCAGGACCTAACCTCTACACCTGTGCATTGTCTTTTGTTAAGATTGAATTGAGTCTTTTGTCATTGGATTGTCTTTTGTTAAGAATGTAGCTGTGCTCGTTCTGTAGGAGGTAAACTGGGTAACTGTGTGCTCGTTCTTTTTTGTAGGAGGTACTAAACAGAATTATCCTTTATCTTCTCGAATCACCACGAAGATGAAGGTGGGTGGGTAGTAAACAGAATCCTTCATCTTCCAGATGAAGGTGGGTGGTTACTAAAATCATTGTTATCCATGAGTCTTTTTCGAAAGAAAGAAGAGATTTAGATGTCCCTCTTTTTTATCTCTGGGTTGGTTGGAAATGAATTTCCTTCTCTAATCACCACCGCCCCCTTAGACCAGTGTATGGACGAAAATACGGACGAACGACCAGACATTGACCTAACTTTTGACCAACAGTACGACCTAAAAGAAGACCCATACGCATATGAAGCAATGCGAGTTTTGCCTCCTCCGTTGTTGCGACACAAAGAAAAGCCTCTATTGAGGTTCATCATGGACAAAGCGCCGAATGCCAGACACCACATCGAAATGCGAGCATTTGTGCCGAAACCGACCAAACACGCCATGGAAAGACTCAAGAAAAGGCCAGCGGCTAGTGTCATGCTGAATCGGTAATGTGTTTGTTGTGTTGAGTACGTTTGAATACTTAGTTGCTGGGACATTTTCCTACTACTGTTAGTTTGTGTCAATGAAGAACAATTAAGCCCTTTATTTCGGTAGTGTTTAAGTAGCGTGTTGGGAGGACATATTGTTGGTACTGTTTTCTACTACATAGATTGACAATATTCTATGGCTATCGCGTCTGAAATTAAATAATTCTATCGTTATTGAAAATATTCTATCGCTATCGCGTCCCCACGAATAAGGTACACTTACATCTGGGTTTCGAACACAACGAAGAAGTTCAAGAGCGACCTCTTCCCGTTTCCGCGGGAAAGTAGAAGAATGCGTTTCGAAACTCCACAGAAGAAAGATGTAGTCGTAAAGTTCCACTTCCAAGAAGATTGGGACCACTTCTACGCTCTATACGATCTCCTCCTAGAATCCCCAAAGAGGCAAGCCAATCACGCAGTCGTGCACGAAGATACAGTCGTTAAGGGTCGTTACCACATTTTTGCATTCTCTTTTGTCCATATAATAGACCTGAAATCCATATGATTGTGTATCCACCTGAAATCCATATAATAGTGACCTTAGACTTCATAATTTATTTGTATTTGATATCCTTAAAAAATTCGTTGTATACCTTGCTTCACTACCGATCGTGCTTGACTTGTTTCCCAGGAAGGAAGGCGTCAGGAGTGACGTGAAAAATGCAATGCCACAACCTCTAAAGCAGGCTTTATCGACAAGTTTTTCGAGAAGAAGATAGTAAGGGAAAGTGGTGGCGTGACCCGGGAAATGTTTGATTTGTGCCATCGAGTCATGATGATAGACGAGACGATGAAAAAAGCTTTGGCGGAAACAAAAGAGCAAGCACATCAAGCGTTGATGAGTGGACAAACTTTTATGGAGATTTTCTTCGGAGAAGTATGTTCATCTTGTGCCCGAAGATTTACTACTTGATATTCTTTTGTTGCTGTAGAAGTAGAAGTTGCTTTCAAGTTTCACTGGTTTCAAGTTTCTGGACCCGAGCGACGCGTATGACTTTCGTGCGACATTGATCAAGAGACGGCTTGGAAATGTTACGCCTAAGTAGTGCTTGCTACCTCCTCATTTGTTCTAAGAAATCCGGCAGTATGTTTTTGAACAGTGCAGCAGACCTCCAAGGGCATGGCGGGAAGGCGGACCAGGGAAGCAGCCCTGCCAAAGGCGGCGACAGTGGCAATTCCGGAGCCGGAGAAGAGCCTCGTCACCCCCACGGAACGTCAACCGAAGGAGCCCAGATCGCTTCGACCGGAATCCAGAGGGACGTGGCAACGGGGTTGCCCTACTACGACCCAAAAAGCAAGAAGTTCCTGTTTGGCATGACCCAGGGTTCGCTTCCGTTCAAGGCGGTAGAGGACAACGAGAACTTGCGCGACCTGGTGGAAAACCACCTTCTGCAAACACCGAGCGAGCCATTGCATTTCCTGGTGCAGATCGTCGACCACCAAGGCGCACCGAGTAAAAAGAAACGATTTTTTTAGGAACATTTTTGCTTCCTCCTTTTGCTTCTGCTCGTGAACAATCAAGAGTCGTTGATGGATAAGAAGATTCGTGCCGCTATGTTGCCACGCATTTTAAGAAAGAGGATATTCTTGTGCAGACGAGGGTAGAATCGTATAATTTTCACACACCTAATATTAAGATACCGGCAGCACCCGCGAACTTCTCTTTACATGAGACTTCCCACCTCAACGTGAGACCTCTCTAGTAATGACAGTTTGCCGAAATTTAGCTTTGACTAGCTGCTTCCCCTTCAAGGGGGTAAATTATACAATCGGATGCAGGAGTACAAGGAACTACGACCAAGCAATAGGTACTCGTAAAACCAAAGAAAGCATCTGCATGAAGATTGTCAACATGATCTGTCCTGATATATCCTATTTCTACTTCATATAATTAGCGATGATTAGTGATAATTGAAGACTACACATCAAATATCTACTTCCGTCCTATACATAGTCGAAATAGCTACACTAGGCAAAGAAGTTGTTAAGAAAAATTCACAATGGTTAGACTTTGACTTGTACGTTCACGTTGTTGTTTTGAATCCTTCACATTTTTCACTTTCACGAATGTTCTTCCACTAGCGACAAGTTTGTCGTCTGATAGTTTATGTACGTCCGCAAACAGCTGATATCTATGAACAAGGTTGTGGAATCCGAATCGACTAACATCATCATCATGTATGAACAAGGTTGTTCTACATTCAGTACATATTCGATTTCGACGGGTTGGTGTGATTGAGGAAAGAGTAAGTTGAGACCCTTCTACTGATTCTTTCTTAGGGTCTTTACTAAGTAAAGTTTACTTAGGGTTTTTCCTCAATGGAGTAAAATAAGATAATGATGAGGACGAGTCTCGCTTATAGATTGAAAATTTTATTTTGTGACACGCTAGAGTGAACAAACTTGTGCTTCGCGCACAGGGCTGTGTAAACACGCTTCTAAGTGCTTCTAGGCATGTATGATGCGTGGAGACGATATGCCTTCGCACAGAATTTTGAAGGTGAAAACACATCAGTTTCTTCCCCCAAAGAGTACCACCTGTAGGGATTCAACTCTCACAAGAGAGACCATAGTAAGTATCCGATGTAGGAAGCTGCAACACTTTCACGCTCTTATTGTTTAGACACGATCTCGTGTTCTGACCAGCTGTAGGTTGTAGTCGTGTTTTTGGCTCTTCAGTAGCCACTAAAGTCTGCTGGTTTATCTAGTGGACCCACACCTAACCTACTTAACCTAATAAGGAGCGACTCTGTGTTGAGCGAGTGCATAAGAAGTTAACGTCTATGTCTGCAACATTCGGTGTAGTCAATAGTCATCTGTGACTGTAAGACCTAGATGTTTCTCACGAAGTGTTGACCACGTGACACGAGTGAAAAAGAAACGAGTGAAAAGCGAGTGAGAAAGAGGGCGAGATTTGGTGAGTGTAATGCACTACCCCAAAAACGAGCGTATACGTGGATTCCCTTGTCAGTCTTTTTTGGAATCTAAATTGCCTTACTGGATTCTTTTAGGGTCTTAGGGTAAAGGGCTGGTTTTTTTCTCCCAGGAGGATGTACCTTTGACCGAAAAGTTATTGTTCGCCCGACTGAGTCTGAGTCAAGTTTTTTGTGAAGTACTTATAGATACGATTACTATCTCTTATTTTTTTGCGAAGATCCTCGTAAAACAAGGTATTGGTTTTTGTTTGTAACTTCTGGGTTGTGTAAGGTACAGATTGAATGAGAATTTGATAGTGCTTTGAGTCGCAAATTTTTGAAAAAAAAGTAAGTAACTCAGATCGTCCTGAATCTATCCTCACTCAAGTCTGTAAAGCCTGTATCATATATGGCATAAGAGTTATAAGTATACAGTCCTTTTTTCTTCCCCATTACAAGAAGGCTTATTTGATTGATACTGTGCCGCGCACTAATTTTCCAATGTTTTTAGGGATCATTTCACGATTTCCAACATCAAGGATCGACGTCGCTGCTCATTTCATTTCATGGACATTCCCGACTCCTGACTACAAAGAGTATATTTTGAGCATTTCTTAGTACTTGAGTTTTACCCTTACAACCCTTTGATGAGTAAAGACTAGCCTAGTACAAGATGGAGGCAGACCACGGCTTCTCGTTTCTCTTGCCTGGTTCGTCCTCTTCTCGTGAGGACGACACGCCAAGACCAAGGCCCATGGAAATAGACGCAGAAACTTCTCCTTTATTAGACGCAGAAAATTCTCCTTCACCCGATCCTTCTTCTGCGAGTTCAAGTATGACTTTAACTGGTAGCGTGGGTAGAAGTGTGGATGTTGATACTCGTCCAGCCAGTGTTGTTGGTGCAGTAAGGGGAATTCCATCTAGCTCTTCTAGCAGACAGCTTTCGCCGCCACTCAGAGCGCGATTGGAGGGTGCGGAGAAGCGTTTGCGTACTGCGGAAGATAGTGTCAGGAGAGCTGGAGAGCAAATGCGTGTGGCAAATAACGAATTACGAGCAGCCCAAGAAAGCCTGAGCCAAGAGTTGAGAGCCGAAGTGTTGGGGCTGTTTTTTGCGACTCCTGATAAAATCGTGGCTGCCGAGGCGGAAATGGATCCATCTACGGTCTCTCCAGGAGTCGAGACGACTTTCTTATTCGCGCCTTCGCAACGGAGTAGGAATAGTAAAGCTGGAGAGGATGGCAATGTTGGAAATGTTGGAGCGAAGGAGGATGAGCAGAACAAGGCGCTTAACATTGCCAACAATTTCAATGTCAAAGATGAGCTACAAGATGATGTAGAATTGCCGTCGCCGTCCGGAGAACCGTATCTGGTCTTGAAAAGTATCAGGCTTTTCGAGAACAGTCAATCTCAGCGGCCCCAAGAGTATCTTACGACGTTGGGCACAGGTTCAGGCGCTGGGAAGCCTAGTAACATGATCCCAGTAGACGACGACCAAGTATCCTGGGTCAGTCGTCGCAGCTCTCTTGCTGGCATGTCCGCAGCTGGCATGTCCGCCATCTCTGTTTCCTCGGCTTCTGGTCAAATGACAGTACTGCCCGACGACTTACTTGGCTATACGTTGACGTTTCTGCAGCCTTGGGCCGACGGCATGTTTTTGGTAAGTAAGCGGTTTTTACAAGTCATGCGAGACACGATACCATGTGAAAGGATCACGCCACCAGTATTGCCATGCTCAGTGCATTTAGAATGCGACGTTTTGAAGCGCGAAAAGCTTATGGGCAGATGTATCTACAACGTGAGTCAGCAGCTTTGGAGTTTGCCACTGAACATGCAGAGGTACGAGTGGGTGCCTGGCATGTACTGTAAGGCGCGTGAAGACTGGCAAGTGAAAAACAGTACGCCTTTGTGGAAGAAAATATTGAAACGTATTGCCTTTTTTTGGATTCTTGAACTTCTAGACAACGGATTCATGGTCGTACTTGTTCTCCACCTCAATCTTCCAAGATGCAGATGCAGAAGTGAAAAAATGCCAGCTGTTGTCCTATAGAAGTGAGCCCACTTCTCTTTTTTTTGTCTCAGGTCTACCTGAATATAGAATTGCTTCTCTTGTTTCCTGGCAGAAAGATCTTTTTCCATCTTCCTTCCATCACACCCCTTCCTTGAAACCACAGATATGAAGGATCGCGAGAATTCGAACCGATCGCCGGATTGTCCGCATTACTGTGAAGTCAAGCAAGCAGAAGTCTCTGTTGTGAAAGGCTACGTCAGCGACTCGGAGACTCGCGCGTTTGTCCGAATGGCGCAAGAGTTAGGACATAGACTGGAGTTACTGCCGGAAAGGAGACGGTTTTAGGGTAAGGAGACCGTCGGTTTACAAAACGATTATGGGGCCGAAGACTCTTAAACACGTAGGGCTCAGGGTTAGGGGTTCATAGAGACGAATAAGAACAAGTACGGAAGGGACACCCACCGCACGGCAGTTTGCTGCGGTTGAAGTCAAAAAATGTAGATCTTGGCTCTGTATATTTTGTATGTTGTTGTAAGCATTACACTGGATTTGAATTGCGCACCACATAGAAATGGCGTGGTAGAACGACAGTACTATTATTTTTTTATTCAATGATATTATTTATTTTGAACTATGTATTTTTGGCCTTCAAAAATAGCCAAGATATTACATCGAGACCAACTAGCAGTAGTACTTGTAGAAGATAAGGTACTTCTACAAGGTCATATCATCATAGGTACCTTATCAACTTTATGGTAATAAGGTACCTATGATGATATGACCTTCATTCATTGATTTCATCAGAGAATGGCAGGCTTCGGCCTATACGTCTTTCCTGAGCTTACGCATACTAGTGGAAGAGTAAGAGGTGTACCCAAGTCTGTTTGGAGAGGAGGTCGAGGACCTCTTCTACTATTCTTGGTGATGAGAAAGAAACAGGAGTATGTGGTATAGCTGCACCAGTCAAGATTTTCACAGGAAGTAGCATCTCCTCCGCCGAAAAAAATCCCTCCAACTTCAACTTGCTTTCATCACTAAGAACCAGTGGAAGAGTAAGAGGTGTACTTCTTCCTGGTCACGGGTGTACTCGTCCTCATGAAATTAGGTAGATTTTAAGTAGAAAAGTAGCTAACATTCTGAGTCTGAGGAAAGGAAGGTACTAGTCTCTCAATCTCTACTATGTAGAAATAGAGACGGAAGGTACTAGTCTCTCAGAAAAGTAGCTAACAATCTGAGTATGCGTACACTTTTTCCTTTCGTAGGAAGGTGTAGAAATAGAGACGGAAGGTACTAGTCTCTCAGAAAAGTAGCTAACATTCTGAGTATGAGTCCACTTCTTCCTTTCATACTATGTAGAAATAGATGTCTCTACTCTGTAGCCACGTGGTGATAATTTTTGAAATAAGCTCAATAAACAAAAGAATAAGCTTCATCTCACCAATGATTGAGGATAATCATGTGAGGCGCACACATGACAGCACGAAATAAGCATTAGCAAGATTCTTTGTCGCCGTGAGCGCGACACGTGTGAGGCGATAGGTTCGCGCGCGAACATAATGATGATAACTGGACTACAAAATGAAATTTGACATATCTCTGTTTGGCAAATATGGGTGATGCTGTGCCGTCCTTCCAAATGTATTCCGAGATGAAGATGTTCTGCAGTTGGTCGGACTTTTTCGACAGAGACAAGGATCATACAGAATGAGTGGCCAGCAGAGGCTCTTTTAGAACGAAAATTCCAGTCCGAAGCGCATGCTAATCATGAAGAATGAGGATGTGCTCTCTACTTCTTCTGAGATTTCTTGAGATGATTGTGGTCTCTACAGATTTCTTGAGATGATTGTGGTCTCTACTTCTTCTGAGATTTCTTGTTGCCACTACTAAAGAACTTTCACCTTGACGAGACTAAAGAACTTTCTATTTCCTCATGATATCAGATGGCAAACGCCAGTGAGCTGTCGGTGAGCGGTTGTCTATTTTAGATCATGCTATGTGATTTTAGATGCCAGATGATAGCCTGATTTCGATTTGCTTTTTTAAGAACGCGGCTTCAAAAACATGTCAGTAGAAAGAAAAGAGAAGTCCTCTCCTGGTGGTGGAGCCGCTCCTCCTCCACCCGCTAGCACCGAAACTTTGCTTCCACCTGCAAAGAGACAGCGAGTTTTGTCAGCCGCAGAGATAGCGGATTTTGCAGCTAGTACTGCTGGCGCGGATGCCATTGTAGATGACGGGAGAGAACAAGATGCGAGAGGCAACTCGAAAAACTCATTGGCGGAGAATTCTTCTACTAGTGCAGCGGCGAGTGCGGCGACTAGTGAGGAAGCTGCAGGAGTGGGGGAGAAGGGCGTCGATAAAGGGACAAACGGAGCAGGTGTGGGAATAGGACTTGCTGACAAGGCAGATAAGAAAGAAGCAGAACAAGAAAAAGCTACTTTTATGTTGAAAGACAAGAACACAATAGGCATTGTGTAAAAATTGCTAGTTCTGATAGCTAGAACCGCAACGCGGAGAGAACACATGGCATGCTAGCGGTGATCATCCTGCTCTAGGATAAGAAGTTGAGCACTCATCTGGTCTCCGCCAGATTGCGCTCTTCCCTCTAAAAATACCACGACAACTGCCTCTTCGGTGTACGAGCCCAACAAAGTCCCGCTCTTCGCCAGCGACCCTAACGCGTGGGTCTCTCTAGGAGAAGGGGCGCCTGGAATGTACGGATGGCCGAAGGAGGCGCTTGGTAGTGGTAGTGGCGACGTCCCCTGGATCTACCAGGAGGAACAGCAGTTGTATTTCAGGCACAGCAGTGGCGAGTGGTACAAGGAGGTTGACGGATCGCTTGTGTTACACGCCGAAGACGAAGACAGAATAGCAGGCGTCTGCACGATATGGAAGGAAGAAAAAGGCTTCGGGTTTTTGAAGGTACTGTTAAAATAACTCGTACTTCTAAGATTCATCATACGAACAAGATGTCTTGGTCCACAACATCTAAGATAACCTGTCTTTTGACATACATAGGTCCCCTTGTACGAACAAGATATCTTATTTGTCCATGCATCTATTCGTTTCTTTAAATGCTGAATTGAATCATCTTGTTTACTTCCTTGGTTCCTATATCGTTGTTTCCTCATCCAACTGGCATTTACCGGTAGTCGTTGTTTCCTCATACAACTGGCATTTACTTAGACTAGTTGCGTTTTGAACTTATAATAAGTCTTTTGATGTGGTGGACAAAGAAATAGACTAGTTGCGTTTTGAACTTATAAGTCTTTTGATGTGGTGGGCAAAGACATCGTGTTCGTACACAATCTACAGGTCCCCTTGTACGAACAAGATGTCTTTGTTCACAACAAACAAGTGAAAGTGCGGGGCCGCGAGCAGTTTCAGAGGCTGTATCCAGGCGATGAGGTTAGTTTCGTCTTCGACACCAGCGATGACGGTCGCCTTTTCGCTTCCGACGTACACCTCTTAGCGGAGGATATGGAAGTGGAGAGCAATGGAGAAGCTGTGGGCTTTTTATGGTCAACACTGGTATAATTAGTGTCCATCTATCTCGGTTTGTTTCAGAAGATGTTGCGTCCTTTGGTCTTCAACGGTCCACCTCATTATTCATCTTTCTCGGCATCTTGGTACTGCCCTTTTTTCCCTTGTACTTATTTTCCTATGAAATCATGATACAAGGGTATTAATAAGAGGGTCAAGATGTTGAGGGGGCCGAGATGAAAAAAAAAGCTGACTCTAATGAATGGAGCAACAAACCAAGCTGTCGCAGGGACAGTCCAAGAAGGAGGCGCGACATCTTCTTCATCGAGAAAAGCAGGACAGCAGTTTCTAGAAGGTGATGAAGAACATGATCATATTATTAAGGGACTACAAGGGCAAACGGCAGGAACAGGAAGGATGGTACTACCTATGGAAGTAGACGGCGATGCTGGTGGGGAGAGCGACAGTGGGGAAGAGCTCAATCTCATAGGCTCCTTGAACTGCCATTACTTTTCGGAAAAAGGCCCATCGAAGGACGAAAACCAAGACCGATACGCAGAAAAGAAGTCACTGCCGCTCCTGAACAACGACAACAACGCGGATTTGATCTATATGGGCGTCTTCGACGGGCACAACGGCTCTCTGTGCGCTGAATACATGAAAACGGAGTTGAGCAAAAACTTGTGCGCAGCAGTTAACAACGTCGCTAACGACAAAGTGGGTCAGGAGAAGCACGTTTTGCGTGCCGCCGATATGCAGAAGGCCTACAGGGCTGCGTACAAAACGTCCGACAAGAACTTTTTGCACAAAGCTAGAAGAGAGGAGGAACTCAGTGGCTCGACCGCGGTGACCTTAATGTTCTACGGACCAGACGAGGAAGGGCAATTAGCGATGTACTCAATTCTATTGACGAGTTATCGTAGTTATTTTGAACAACATCGTTCTCATTCTGGGGTATCACACACATCTCATTCGTATGTGTGTCTCATTGGACTATCAGCGTTCTCGTATGTGTAACAGGTACACAGCACACGCAGGGGATAGTTTTGCGATGCTAAGTCGGCAGGGACATGCAATTAGGTTGACTAGCGATCACAAACCAAGTAGGCCAGACGAGCTAGATAGAATTAAGAATTTGCCGGATGGATTGGTACTACAGATAGCTTTTTTGCTACTTACAACTGCTGATTTAAATTGTTCATTTGTGGAGCATGATGTCGCTGTTCGTGAAGTGCCTCATCTCGGGGTCCCTTAAGTGCCTCAGGGGGGGCCCTTAAGCGCCATCGCGAGCCCCTTAAGTGTCACGCGGAGCCCCTTAAGTGTCACGGCGAGTCTTTAAGTGCCACACCGAGTCCGTTACCGGTCACCACTTGAGCGAATACGCTTCAGTGATGCAGGAAGTGTCACTTAAGTGATGCTTAAAGTGTCACTTAAGTGATGCATGAAGTGTCACTCAAGTGATGCATAGAATGGCGCTTAGGTGATGCATAAAATGGCGCTTAGGTGATGCATAAAGTGTCGCTTAAGCGGTGAACGCACTTCGGAGGCGTCACTACTTAAGCGAGGCTGTCGGAGTGGTGACCCCGCCACTTGCACTTCGCTACTTGAAGGTTCACAACACGTCGTCTTCTCATCCTACCCAAAAATGAAGCTACTCTGCTAAACTACTCCTAAGATGATGTTGTTGCTCCTGCTCTTCGTTACCATTTCTCGTTCTTGTTGTTCCTTGTCTTGGTTACAACTATGTCTCGTCATTTCCCCTCCAACCCGAAACCTTTTCTGATCAGGCTCAACCAGTGAACGGCGTCTGGCGTGTCCTCGTAAAAGGTCCACCCAGCGGTGGCCAGCAGAATTATATGGGTTTAGCCGTTTCCCGATCTCTCGGAGACCTTCCGTTTAAAGAAACCCCTGGCGTCGAATATGTCTGTGGCGTACCTGAGATTCGCGGAGACTTGATCGACCGGGAGAACGACGATTTTGTCTTGCTGGGCAGTGACGGCATTTCCGACGTGTTAGATGAATATGCTCTGAAGTGCATAGTGGATGAAGCGCGTGAAACCGGAGTGAAAAACGTGGCAGAACTAGTGGTGAAGCGGGCCCGAGAATTAGGGACACACGATGACTGCACGGTGCTAGTTTGCTTCTTCGACTGGACGAGCGAGGTGGATCAAATTGACGGAGGAGGAGCAGGTGAAAACGCGCCTCCAGTACTAGCAAACGGACAACAGGATGACGAAGATGAGGAAGAGAAAGAGACGCTTCTGCCACGAGAGGAGAAGTCTCCTGAGAGGACAGAAGCAGGTCCGATAGTAGAAGCTGCACATGCAGCAGAGGTTCCACCCGAACTACCTGCGGACGCGGCAACATCTAGAAGTGCTGCAGAGGCTACTGCAGAAGCTAACGGCCACCCTAAGCCCGTAGAAGGTAGCGGCAAAAGAGAAACCAATTCTTCTACAGCAGCTAATGAAGATAATATAGCTCAAGAAGCTGATGTATCATCAACAGCAGCAGTAGAATCACCAGCAGTAGAAACTACAGGACCCGAAGAGGATCTACAAACGCCACCACAATTGTCATCGCAAAATAGCGAAGGTCTAGTTTTTCAGGACGCTTTAGAGACTGCTGAAGAGCTAGCTACAATCCAAAGTAGAGGAAACTCGAACAAGAAGGAATTGATGCACGAACAAGAAAGAGAGATACTCGAACAAGAAGGCGCTCACAGACAACAGGCGCCACCATCATCTTCGGAGGGAGAAGCAGGGGCTGCGAGTCCGGTTGTGCCTGGTGCTGAGAATAGTACCCTCGTTGAGGGCTCTGCTCCTGGTGAGGCACCTGGTTCGATTAGTAGCACCTCCGCAGAACAACCTGGTGTTGAACAAGCACAACCAACAGCAGCAGAAGAAGTAACTGCAACAATCAGTGCAGATTCTGCTGAAGTTGAAGAAGAACAGCTCAAAAGTAGTGAATCTCCGGAAGCTGAAGGTGCTACGACTCAAACAAAAGGCATAGAGACCACTACGCCACGAGGCTCTGACGAATTTCGCAGTCCTCAGAGTTGTGCAGCACCATCACCAGAGAAGGAATAGTAGTGCTTGAAAGTAGACTAAGACTCTTACTTGATGCTAGTACATTACAGAAACATACAGAAACACAAGATGCTCACGACTAAGGATCCTATCAGACTAAGCATCCTATCAGACTCGATGACAAACAACATACCGTTTTTGGTTTTCTTGATCCAGTAAGCTTCTGGTATTCTCATATATATCAGAATGCTAGATCATGTTGGCGAGATCAGTAGATGTACCCTTTAGACTCCTTATAAAGTACGAACAGGGAACCCCTGTTAGTTGCGGTCTTAAAAACCGAAAACAAGATCAAAGAGAATAGAGAGAAGTATCGTGCTTCACTTTCCAAAAGCTGTTGTAAAGCGTGTTTTCAAGAAGATAGCGTGATGACGTGAGATCAGATTCTCGAGAGATCAGTGATATTGCTCGAAAGCATAAGCGCATGGCGTTGATGTGCGTGTCTGTGTTGATGATCTGGAGGTTGAGAGCAATGCCTTTCTACATGAGAACTCTGCAGTCCATTGTTCTCGTCCTCCTATCTAAGATATCTCTGTACTGAGCGAGGCAATCTTCTGTGCTGAGAAAAACTGCATTGATTTTAAGAGCTGGCGCAAACGGTGTGAAGATAATCCAGGCAAGGATGAATCTCTTCATCTATCATAAATCTGTATTCTTTATCCTAATGCATTTTCAACAGCCCCCCTCGACTTCCCCAATGCCTCCGTGTGATTTGTGTGCATGTTTTTGTGCATATGATCAAGAATCTAGCATGTGAATGAGCAGCTCTTTCGATAGTTTTCCAACCTTTCGTTTTAGATATAGCCAACCCTCTTATTTGCAATTATTGCATCTTGAGCTTGACACAAAAAAGAGACGCTTACTTTGAAGAGAAAGTAGCTAGTCGATGACTTGTATTCTTGCTGTGTTGATGTGATAGTATGTGATCAACACCGGGCGTATTCTTCGTCATTATAATTTAGATTTAGTTAGTATTGGAATCTTCAATACATAAGACCCAGGTACCAAAAAAAAATATCAGACAGCAATACATGAATGCGTGAATACATAAGATCAGACTGGCAGTATTAAATTTGAATTCATGATCTAGTGACTTTCCCACTTTTCTTCGTGAAGCAAGCATATATTGTGAAGCATACTTCCCTCGTCTAAGTGGTCCAAAATTTCTAAGACAATGATTCCTTGGAACCCTCCCGCTGGTGGCGGCCATGGGCAGGCCTGCTTCGCCTACGACGACCCTCGTCACGGTTCTCCGGCTAATCTCTGGCTCAAAGAATCTCTCTGTCACGACATCGAGCTTTTCCTCCAACAGGAAAACTACCGTCAAAAGGGCAAACAGCTGTCGGACGACTACATGGTTTACAGAAAGTATGTGCACAAACTTCTCGAAAAGCCAGCTGGCGATATGTTTTCCGCGGATGCCCATGTTCGCTTAGATGCAGCTAGACTAGCTTGTGAAGGCAGGTATGCGAGTTGTCCGGACAGCAATCGCGGAATCTTTCGCAGATGTTTGAACGACATAGTGTTGTTGGGAAGACAAGAGTTGTCAGCAGCAGCACCTGGTGATTTGGCTCCGAAAGGGTTGAATGCGCCGATGATATCTCAACATGGAAGCGGTGGAAATGGACACATTTTTGGAGAGCACGGGGAAATTGGATTAAACGAGGAAATTGGAAGTGAGCCACTTCATAATCCAGAAACCGACGTAGGCGTTCCGGGTGATGTTCCTGGTATCCCACTCGAAGCTCAATCCCGACGTGCACCCGTTCATCCGGCGGGTTCGACTGGTGGGATGTCTAGACCCCAATCTCGTGGCAGTTCTAGACCTGGCTCTAGACCTGGCACAGCCAGAGTAGGCGCAGCAAATAGGATGATGAGAGTTGCGGCTGCACCGGTGACGCCTAAAAGTTTGAAAAGCAACATCGAAGCTGCTGCTGCGTCCGCTGGAAATGATGCCATTCCGCATGAAACAGCCAGTGTTATGAAAATCGACACGGGAGGTCAAGCAAGAGCAGCTACAGCGACAAGCTTTAGTCATATACAAAATGGAACAGGAGCCTCAAATGGAACAGGAACTAACATCAATGCAACTGGCACTCATCAATCTCAACAAGTTCAAGTTCAAGGAAGACCGAGAGGACAAAGTGCGAAAAAGACTTTTTTCACCGGCACTGCTTCAAATTCACGAGGGCCATCTTCCATGATCAGTGGGGGTGAAAAAGGAAATACAACCTCCTCCAACCTCCAAATCAACCAAATAGTCCATCAGGAGCATCCGAAAAACGTCATCCGCCGAAATTTCATGGACCAAGGGAGGGCGGGGCGCTCGTCTCCTGCGCAGTTACTAGAAGATGCGGATGGCGTGAACGCTAAGTGGATCGTTGGGGGTGCTGCCAAAACATTGTGTCGCGGAAAGCGAGTCTTGATGGTTGTATCGCCTCCAGCCCCAAATTATTTGCCGTGCTTAGGCCTAGGTCCAACGAACAGTGTGCCGTTACCAGGGTGGCCACCGCAGATCAATATGTAGTTCTACCTAGCTTGTGGGATGGAGACGGAAGTTCTGGACTCAAGAAAGAGGAACGTTGAATAGGCTCCACCAGGAACAGGCGACTGTGCCCTTGAATGAGGCCACGAAGCTCTCTGGAACGTTACTGCTACACTGTATGGAACGGTTTCGACTTAATTCCCTAGGGTCTGCTCTCAAGGTTGATTTGCCAGGTCAAACCGGAGACAAACGACATGACATGAGTAGGCACCGGCGCAGTGTCATCTCTTCAGGTAGGTACCGCGATAGTGTGCAGTAGGCTGTGATGAGATGAAACATATATTTGCATGGGGTTTTTTCGAAAGAGAGAGGAACATTATGCATTTGCATTTGGGGAGGCAACATAGAAAGATACGATTTACAACGTGGGAGATATTTTTGGCCACTCTTGTGTACTTGATTAGGTACACGCAAATACTAGTTTGAAAGAGTTATGACATAGCAATGACTATGACACTAGCATGCATCATGAACGATAGCCAACTTTGCTATCGCTGTCAAGATTAGATAGGTGATTTACAACTGATTTCTTTTGTACATACATCCTCTGTACATGGATTGTGGCAGCGTCGTCGTCCATCGTCCTTATTGACTTCTGATGATAGCGGTCACACCTTGGCGCATTCACTTCTATGCGTATTGGTATCGGCAGCTTACAGCACAGGTGTTCTTAAAGTCGCTTGAAGGGGCCTCAACTACTGTTCAGACGAAGTGCAAGTGCTTCATCTTCTGAAAGTTGACTTGCCACATTCCTGTTCCGTCTTTTCTTGGTGCTGCTTTGAGATGAGTTCTTTTTGCTCTGGTGCTTGTGAAGTTAGATGGAGCTTTCCATGTAGTTCAACGCGTTGTGCGTGCACCATCGGTTCATCTTTTGCGAGAATGCTGTTCCACCTGTTGTAAAATGTTTTACAACAGGTGGAGCAGCATTCTCGCAAAAGATTGACATGCCATGAGCTGACGCTACAAGAACTTTTCATGATTATATAGATTTGCTGCTGCTGTGTTCAATTACATGATCAATACTAAATCTACTCTTCTGGTGGTCGGCATCATTGACTTTAATCCTAAATGATGATGATCGTCCACTTCCAAAGATGAAATGATACTTGAATCAACATGTGGCACTTGTACTAGCGTTCAATCGTTTTGCTTGGTTGCTCAGATGCGGGTGACAGTGTCCTAATACGAAATCATGTAGTCGACGGGGGACGCAAAAAGGGGACTGCGGTCCCGAGCGCGCATCGCTGCTTCTTGATCACGGAAGCAGCAGTGGTCATCGCGCGTCGGTAGTGGCCCTTTTTTGTGCTGTCTGCGTGCTTCTGTTGTCGCGGTTACCCTGGTCCGAATCCAGGTTCAGAAGATACAAATTCGAGAAGTCGAGGAATCGTCAGTGTTGTATTCGAGGGTAGAAGTGGCACGGCGGAACTTGCTTTCGTGATTCTGACTCTTTGATTCCGACCTGTCGTGCAGAAGCGCTGCGACGGAGGTGAGTGTATGCGCTACGAAGGTGTGACTGTGCTGTGGCGCTTGTGTGCTTCGTTTCCCCCGGGACGCAATAATACAAGTACGCAAAGTTCTGCTTTTCCACAGTCTGTTGATACGAGCCACTACTTCACGCTGGTACCGCCACACAAGACTGCGTCCTTGTCGCAGGTTAACAGTCGACTCTTTCCGCTTCATCTGACTAGAAGTAGGCGGAACAGCATCTGATCTTGGCCAAATCCTATACCGCTCTTACATTGTTGCTGTTCTCATCAACCGACTAGCAGGCATCTAGCAGAATCGAACGCGAGCATGGTGACCATCGGTCCCTACACGCTGGGAGGCACCCTGGGTGTCGGCACCTTCGGGAAGGTGAAGTTGGCGGAGCATCTGCTGACGGGGGAGAAGGTGGCAGTGAAAATCATCAATAAGCTCAAGATGGAGACTATGAACATGCACGAAAAAACAAGAAGGGAGATTACGATATTGTACTTCTAGATTTACTACTCAGTATAATAGGGTTTGTTCTAAATTTCATCGTCACGGAAAACGGATTTCGAGTACTTCCAAAAAGACTCATTTACTTCCAAAACCGTGTGGTACAACTGGTATGTAAAAATCAATATTTTAGTGTAGTTGAGGGCTACATCATTTCTATGTTAGAATCACGACGACAACCATGCAAATCGATTTCACGACTTCTCAGCTCGCAAATCAATTTCACTTCTCAACCTGACGAACATGTGATAACAGGCAGCTCCTGAAGCATCCACACGTTATACGGTTGTACGAGTTGATTGACACACCTTCAGACCTCTTCATGGTGATGGAATATGTGGCAGGAGGCGAACTCTTCGACCATATCGTACACAAATTGCGACTGAGGGAGTCAGATTAAGGCTGGATGTTGGCTGGATGTTCGCTGGATGTTCTTATTCTACTATCCAACATTTGCATTTCTAATATCGAGGACGGCGTTTCTTCCAGCAAATAGTCGCAGGCGTGGAGTATTGTCACGGCAATAATGTGGTGCACCGGGATTTGAAGCCTGAAAACTTGCTATTGGACACAAACTTACATGTGAAAATAGCGGATTTCGGGTTGAGTAATCGGATGAGGACAGGAGAGTTCCTGAAAACGAGCTGTGGCAGTCCCAACTACGCGTCACCAGAAGTCGTCAGTGGGAAAGGTGATCATGATACATGTTGACTATGAGGAGGACGAGTTGCTGCTTAGGTATGATCGAGCTACACGATCGAAGCATTGACCACTAGAAAGCTTGTGTGAATAGTTGTTGAAGAAAAGACACATTTATCTTGGCCTTTCAGTCTGACAGAAATAGCTGTCTCTCTCTTTTTTTTTCACCATTAAAGCAAACAAATCACAAACTCAGCCTACGCCGGTCCGGAGGTCGACGTGTGGAGCTGCGGCGTGGTGTTATATGCTCTTCTGTGTGGTAGCTTGCCATTTGATGATGAGAATGTGCCGAACTTATTCCGGAAAATCAAGCATGGGAATTTCACACTGCCAGGACACTTGACGAACGAAGCAAAGGACCTCATCGTGCAAATGCTTGTGGTGGATCCGACAAAAAGAATAAACTTCCCGCAGATACGCAGCCACAAGTGGTTTAAGGTACTACATGACGATGCTTTTATTAAGGTCTACCTGATTATTTGGCATTTTCTTACGGTGACGATAATTTCAACTTTTCTGCAAGTCTCTGGAGCGCGCACCTACCGCGGGCAGCGTTCCTGAGTCAAGAGCGCCGCTTTGCCAAGCCCAACCCAAAAGACCTCACCCACCATTTCTGTTAATGGTGGGTGAGGTCTTTTGGGTTGGGCTTGGAGGCGCGGCGCTTTTGCCGGCCAACGCGCGCCCGCCGCTTGCAGAATAGCTGAGTTGGCTGCTGGTCACGAGAGCAGAGGATGATGGCTGCGCCTTTCTTTGCGCGAGTCGGCGCGACTGACTTGAAGCCACGCACGGTGCCGGGTGGGCTTCGGTGTGGCGTTTGTGTCTGCTCCCGGCCGGCTCTGGCGGCCGTCGGGGCTGGTGGTGCTTGAGGCCCGCCCCTGCTCAGGCGTCACCGTTTTACAGCGACAGACCCCGGCCTCTACGTTAGCTACCCAATTAATCGGGAGGAAAGGCTCCTTGTTTAAAGTAACTTCACCATCGTGAATGTGCCTACAGGTGAATCTCCCCGACTATCTATCCGCCGGCCCGGTCTTGAGTAGGAGAGAGGGCACAAACGTGCAGGCCGAGCTTGATGAGGGGATAAGAAGAGACATGGAAGAATTAGGAATCGAGATGACGGACAAAGCCCTATTCGGAGACCTCAGTTCTGACGAAAGAGTGGTCTATCACTTACTCCTCAACAGGAGATCAAAGCGGTCAAGCTTCACGGATTTACTTCCAGTGCACCACAAAAATGCGAGTAGCCCATTGGTTTTGCTGAACGAGACGACAGCGAAGGAACTGGTAGGTGGTTTTGTTGTGGATCTTCGAGATTTGATATGCGAATTTTTCATACGTATAGATTCAATGAAGTTGTGGATTTTTTTGGTAACAAGAAAAGAAAGACATCAGCAGTGTTTCTTGAGATGACATAAACATTGCTCATGGCGACTGCTTGAAATCACAAACTAATCATTTACATTGCTCAGGCCAAAGAGTACCAGTTTGAGAAAGTGCCGCCTATTATTCCTGCAGCCGGTGATACGCGTTTTCAGCGAGGAGGTGGCGGTCCGCACACCATCAACATACCACAGAACGTAGTTTCTCAGACGTGGGGTCCAAGCCGCTTCAGACTAGGGTTCGAATTCGGCTTAGAGTCCCTACTTCTATTGAGGGAAATATTTTCCGTTCTACAAAGGAACGACTACGAGTGGTGTATTCTAGGAGCATGGAGGCTGAGGTGTAGAAAAAAATCGTCGGGGAGTACGAAAAACATGCAATTCGCTCCGCCAGATAGAGGAAAAGGGTTTATGGTGAAAGGCTAACGTTTCTAGCAGACAACCAATTTTCAGAAATCTATCACTGACCTTTTTCTTTACCCATCTGGTATCCGTTTCAAGAAATGACAACTTCTTTTCATTCTCTCCATTTTCCAATCGTTCTTGTGCTCATCCTCTCTACCTCCTCTTTCCTCCTCCTCTTTGCTTCTCCTCCTCTTTCCTTCTCCTCCTCTTTCCTTCTCCTCCTCTTTACTTCTCCTCCTCTTTACTTCTCCTCCTCTTTCCTTCTCCTCCTCCTCCCCCTCCTGGTTAAGGAAGCGGGTAAACGAACCCTAGACTAAACCTTTTCCTACGTCCCTCTTCGTCGAATAAGCTTTCAGCGGAACAAGGGAATGGTGTTAGACTAAGTTGTGCGGAATGCCGTTAGTGACTAAGTGGTGCTTTCATATGTTAGACTAAGTGCTTTCATACGTTCCTCTTCGTCAGCGGAAGTGAATGCCGTAGTCCAGGTCCAAGTGTATAAGATCAATACTGGTCGTTACCTAGTGGACGCCTTGCTCGGAAACGAGACGTGCACAACACTTCCCGGAACCTTGAGCGTGGTAAACCTCATGAAAACGTTGTTGACGAGTCCGGTTTTGGCGCAGAGCTTGATTACGGATCAGGTACTAGTATTCTACTTATCATTTACGGATCAGGTACTAGTAGATGGCGCAGAGCTTGATTACGGATCAGGTACTAGTAGATGAGTGGGAAAAATATGAAGATTTCTTAGTTAGTACTTTTTGTGATAGGCTTCAGCTGGAATCAAGTAGACGGAGTCAGCTGGAGTAGCATAAAGTAGATAGTGTCCTTTTCTGTGGTTGTGGGTTTATTTGGTGTACCGGTAGTACCCCATTGGGAATAAACCAGTGCACACAACTATAGAACTTCTGAGCACTCACTGGAGGCGTTGCACAGGGCTCCGGCCTGCCTTCGAAGGTGCGACCTCTGGGGCTGAGAGGACCACGACAGCGCCGGCGCTTCGTTATTAGTAGAGAAGTACTCGCTTGACATTGACTTTCCTTCTTTCGGTTTTTGTTTTTTCCAGTTAGGTCTGCTCCACCAACACTTTATCAGCTGGAATCAAGTAGACGAAAAACCGAACGAGACAGGCGACATGCGAATAGGTAGGCCTTTCCCTTTGCGATGACCAGGACCTCCCCTTGCAGTGACCCGGACAAGTGTTGCGCAAGCGCACCTTTCTCTTTTCCTCCTGTAAGTAGTAAGAGACATGGGTACAACAACTGTACGGCACTGAAGAATTTTCTTAAATTAAACAACAGAGGACACCCTCCAATTTCTTTTCTCAAAGTAAACAACTACAGTCCAACAGTCACACGACCGCAGACACACCCAACAAATTCAATCACAGTTTATACAGATTCCACCAAAACCAGTTATCTAAACTTATACAAGTTATCTTTTCAACATCCAGTAAACTATGTCATTTTCAACGTCATCTTATCACAATCTTCTTCTTTGTACACTCTTCTTGTCGCTATCTTGTAGAATTCTCACTCAACTAAAACTATATAGTCTTTTCTTCACAACCAATTACAGTTTTCGCACTCTACTATCTCGATCCTTGTTTCTTCGTACACCAGATCAAGGATGGTCACTGAATCTCCGGATCTCTTCAGACAAGGCTATGAAGTTAGATCATTGACTCCCATGTTGAGCAACTTTTTGTTGTGCTTTTTAGAGCGCTTACCGACATTTTCGACCGGAGTAACAGGTGTTCATTCTACTAATGAAAGAACAAGATTCCAGACGCAACATTTCCTCTCGGATAGTTGCTGTCCTCACATTTTACTGGTGTCTCTTGTTCGCCTGTAGTTCAACTGTCGACCTGAGGTCTGTCTTGTGCTGAGAGATCTCGTAGTTCCACACAGGCCCTTAGCCTTTCTGTCAAGGTGATCCCACGTTCTTTTCAGACCCTTGGAGGACATGTTACTTTCACTTCCCCAGCGCTTACCGACATTTTCGACTCGGTCTGTAGTCGGTAACCATTGTGAGTCCAAGTTTGAATAGTACTGCACGACGCCGGGAGGTTGTTCGTTTTGAGCCCGAAACGAGTGCTGTTTATATTGCTTATAAATCATTCGGTAAATTGCATCTGTTCCTACATTAACATACGTTGAAGAGAGATGTAGTTGCAGAGAGAGGAGTGACAATTCTGAGTGCCCGTGACTTCCCTGCCTGACACCCCTCCATCCCCCGCACCTACCCGTCATTCCTAGACTCTGGTAGAGCGGCAACTTGTAGAATCGTGGAAGAACCGCCCTCATTGTGACTTCGAGATTAAGTCAGGGTGGAGCATATGAATGGAAGTGATTGAGATTCCGCACGACGCAGTACAGCTTGAAAAGAAGTGCATCTCAGCGACACTATCTTCAAAACCAAACATGTAGGCTTCGGGAATATGAGTCATTTGCCATCAGAGCCTGCTGGCATCAACGAGGATGTTGTCTCACTCTGGTAAACGCCTATAAGATGGTAGTCGTAAACCAGTGGCCATTGTAGTCGTGGTCTGGAGGATCTTCAGGCAAGAAATCGTCCTAGTCGAGGACCACTTGTTCTACCACCACGACTTCAAACACCGAAGCAAGTTCTTCAACCGTAACAACCTCAACAACTAGAGCTACAAGATGCCGCCTCCAAACGCCTCTCAAAATGGCGGCGGCCTCAAGCACGCTGGCACCAAGAAGCTACCGCCCAATGTACATCCTGGGAATCAAGACATGTCCCCAACCACCATGGAAAAGAGAAAAAAGCGTCAACAGACGATGCTCGACGCAGAGCGCAATGATCCTGGTGCTCATGAGACGCTAGCGGTGATAGATCCTCAAGTGCTCTATGAGGAATTTGCAGTTGCAGTGGCGCAGAGTCAACTGGAAAATAGACAGAAGATGCCGCAGAAACGCGTAATGTGCGTTCCCTATTTGATGGCGAGCATTGTGAAAATGCAGTTGCTGACGAGGAGGTACTTAATAGTAATTAAGTAGCTGATGGCACAATAAGTAGGATAATATGCTTGTTTTCGAAGACCTTTATTTGTTTTGGATTTACTATGAGACAGATTAGGTGTTTCATCAACACATCATGATATCCATCATCTTCTTCATACTTCCAGTTTTTACACTGCAACTATTTCGTCCTCTCATCCTATCACAGTTTTCGCAGGATCTACCAACATCAACACAATCATACAACCTTTACAGGATTGTTTTCATGCGATCGTTTGGGCATCTCGTAAGTTCAGGAGACTTAATGGAGATCCCCCCTAGTGCCAACTGGGGTCTTGCACTCTACCTTGCGAGGAGGATGAGGTAGCTTTCTTAAGGTGATTGGTATTCCTTCTATGCGTCTGTTGCTCTACGTGTTGTAAGACTATAAGATCATCTCAAAATGAAATACAACACAGTCACAGGGACAACTTTTCCACCAGCATACATCTTGCTTACAGCTATCATTTTGAATGTGAGTATTTGAATTCCACCTTCGCAACACTCAACCATCAAAAATTCGGACCACCTTCGCATTCAAAAGGTCTGACCAGTTTATCGACTATGACCGTGAAGCCGTTTGTCTGGCTGGCGTTGTCTGCCTGAAAGAGGGAGATTTGTCGCTGTCTATCATGGACGACTTGGTTCCCTACTACCGAGCAAAGTGCATAAAGACAGAGATTCTTCCCATAAGCAGCCGCGCCTTGCACGATTCCAGTTTTCTGCATGGTGCAGAGGTGAAAGAGAACCACGACGACTCTTCAGGCAACACGGTCAAGGTCGTTCGGAAAAGCCGAGGCCTACAAATGTTAGAGGAGAAGCAAGCGCAGGTCGTAGCAGAGGCCTTTGACATCGCAATGCGGTATTACAAGGACAAGGAGCTTTTTTACCGGGAATTCTTTAGCGACCCGGATCGTCGAGTCTACAAACAATTAGGCATTCCGAATGACCACGAGGGGTCGTATCAGAAACGGAAGGAGATAGACGCAGGAGTGCTTGGAACTGTTGGAGGTGGCGCTGCTAGGAGAAGGAGTAGTAGTCATGGACAACAGAGGAGTTCAAGCCATCTTCCTCAAATAGAAGAAGATGGTGGAAGTGGTGCGGGAGACCGATTCGCAGCAATAGAAAATGGTCCAGTTAAGGCTCCCATCCCTATCCATCTCTACTATACTAGACTAATCCACCATCTCACTAGACAAGACATAGGCACCCCATCAATACAAGTGAGATTTTGACGCATATGCTTGCGGGATTTGCACAGGGATGACTAGGGGAGAGGTCTAATCCAGTTGCTGGCGGTAATGAATACGGTGATCTTGCTCCTACAGGAGAGGCGCAACAAGAAGTGGGAGGTGATGATGAATCTGGTGCAGCAGGTGCCGCGTTTTTGACGTCGGGACCACCAGGCGCAGATGAAGCAGTTGAAACAGGAGCTTCAGGTGTAGATACCCTTGAAGATGAGGAACCCACGACCGGTGGCCCTCCAGGAGGTCATGACAACTCAAATACTGCAGAAGCCCAGCAGCCTCTTCTAGAAGACACTGCACTTGCTACAGGAGTCGATGTGGACGCTAGTGCAGCACCTGTGGAGGGTCCTGCACTTGCTACAGGTGTCGGTGTGGACGCTAGTGCAGCACCTGTGGAGGGTCCTGGCGGTGTCCTAGTGGGCACAGGTGCAGCAGCCTCATCAACCTCACGGCAAGCGAGTCGAGAACTGCAATCCGCAAGTGCCGAGGCTGCTCCAGATGCAGGCGAGGTGGCAGCAGCTGCGGCAGCGGTTCCGAACGATGGGGCAGCGGCAGAGGCAGTACCAGTGGATGGATCAGCGCCTGCAGTTCTTGATGTTGGTGGGGGATCAGCACCTGCGGGTCCCGCAGATAGTGCAGAAGATGGCACTAGACCTGCAAGTCCGCCAGTAGTTGCGCAACAGCCAGAATCCTCTGCTGCTGCGATCGCGCCATCGACTGACGATAGAGCAGATCCGGGTGACGGCATCGTTGCTGAGGAAAGCTTGCAGATAGCCCAAGAAGGGGCTGAGAATCCTCCACCAATAGAGGAAGTAACATCAGGGGAAGGAGTTGTAGATGCTAGTGTAGAGGCGCAAGCGGGTTCCTCAGATGCTGTGGGAGGACAAGAGGGACCAGCACTGGATGAGATAAAAGCTGCTGAGGAGACAATAGAGCCTAGTGCGGTTGCCATAGTACAGGAGAACAGGACTGAAGCGGAAGGTCCACTCGCTGCTCAACTTTTAGCCAATTTCGACCGCGAAGCGGCGGACAAGACGCAAAAGGAACTCGAAGCTGCGCATGAAGGCGTGCGCGGTAACGACGTCAAGGCACGACAACAGGCGGCACGAAAACTAGCGAATCTAGAACAGCACGACCGAGCATTTAAGGAAGACGCTTTGGCTTTGAGCGAGTTGATGCAGTCGCACGCAGACGACTCGGATGAAGAGGCTATGAGACACGACCCAGGAAGGAAAAGAGAAGCGTTTTTAACGGGTGCGAAGGATATGGGTGCGAGTCCGAGGGCCATTCAACAACCGTTTTCGCCTGGGAGTGTGAACTATGGTATCGAGCTTGTCTCTTTGTCCTTTTATTTTTCAGCTTTTTTTGTGACGCATAGTAAACGCACAACTATTTGGAACTCATCCTTAAGACAAGTAAGCTTTTTTCCCCTCTACATTTTTGAGTAAACTTCTTTCATGCCAACAAACAATACAGCTGACGTGAGACCCGAACTATCTCCCGATGCCTCGCCTGGTGGCGAGACGCAGATGCTGTTACTGGCCAAGAAGGGCAACGAGGAGGCTGAAAACCAATTAGCAATTCATGGGCATACAACCGAGTTTGGCGAAATCGTAGCTCGTGATCAAGACGGCGGTTTACAGACTTTCGGCAACGATGATGGTCAACAAGGAGGACAGGTGCAACTCTACAATGTTGAAACCCCAACCGAAGAACACAAAGGCTGGGACACGAATGAGGGCAACCCTTACATCGTGGGTATGGGTCAATATGTGACCACGTATCCCGTACAGGGAGAGCTTTGCCTGTACGATGGTCGAGATTTAATTTAAGGCCTATCATGTGGTCCGGAACTCATCGTCAGGAGCATCTTCTTTGTCCCCCTTTTCTTCAATAAGGCAAGAAAATTGCGTGGTCAGAGATCATCTCTTCAAGATCTGATTTTGAGGTCGTAAGACCGTCTAATTAGTGGAACGCTATGAGCACCATAGGATACGGCAAGTCATCGACTACGTCGCTAGAAGGTATTTCAAGCAGCCAGAAAGGGAGAGGAAAGACCCAAGCTTTAAGGCTCCCGCTGAAGCATCCTCAATCTCATCCTTGCTTCTTTTTCTACTTGAAAAAGAAGTTCATCATCCTTCCAAGGTCGGATATGATTTTTTCTCTCAAAGAGGAAGATGCGAAGACGCGGTACTAGCAGCTCTAAAAACTCTTCTTACCATGAAGCATTCGGCAGTTTGGAGAAGATTTTAGCGGACCAGTTGGAACAGATCTATATGGACCTATGCAATCTGTTGAAGAAGATGTCCGACACCATCCCTGACATCATGAAGTGTGAGCAACACGCTTTCGCGAATTTCCGGATTAACAGGGTGTCGGACAGTCACTACGACGAGATAGTGGACAAATTGCATAGGGCTAGGTATTCTTGGAACAACCACATTGGACAAATTGCATAGTGGACAAATTGCATATAGAGTTACATTCTTGGAACAACAAAGACTTGTTTGTAACTTGTTGTACTTGTGACCACTATAACTCTAACTTGTTGATGTACTTGATGTGACTACTTGCTCGCCCCCTTATGATTTTCGAGTAGGCGTCGAGACTAACATTGATTCTTCAACAATGATATTTGTAGTTCCTCTCGAATAATTCGAATATCATCCAAGGTACAACAACTTTTTTGAACCTTCCTATACCAGGTACAACCTCTTCAAGCGCAAAGAGTATGAAATCGCCAACCAGTGGGAGAAGCCTTTTAGTGGACCGGTTTCTAAGTATCGGCCACAGAGCGTCAATTATGCAGAGGAGTTAGGCAATGACAACGAGTATGTGTTGGAATTCCGTGACGAAATGAGTCGCCTTTACGCCTGCCACGTAACGGAGTTTAGCAAAACAGCGAGAAGGAGATTGGCGAGAATAGACAACTTGATGGTGGGGAAAGCGAATGCGCCACAGGTACACTTAATTTAGAGGAGTTTGGGCGACCTGAATGCCAGGTCTCACGTTTTGTTCGACTCGCTTCTCTCTTAGAATATCACTTTGGACCCTCACTGTATATCTTTCTCCACCGTTGCCTCTGGCAGGTAAAATCCGTTCTCAAGTCTTTCGATGTTCGACGTCTGCAAGAGATCGAGGAGGGCAAAGAGGACATGCTAAACGGGATGGCATTGCTCGGTGATGGAGACCCCAACGTCTTAGCTTTTGGATCTGAGCTTCTCTCCCCAAGAACATTCCAGGACGCTTTTTATCCGTGTGCAGAGAGGCATCGAGAAGCTCTATTGCAGCAGGAAGTAAGGCATTTGACCACCGGTGAAATCTTTGAGTCTGCAGAACATCTGAACACACTTTTGAGTGCTTTGGAGAGACAGGCGCCCGCATTGGAGAGGTGGGTCAGAAAAACCCGTACGGAGATACCGGAGTTACGACATCTAGTGCCGAAACCTATTGCTCTGCACAAAGCGGAACTGTCGGCAACGGAAGCTACAGCAGGAATGCCATCGGGATATCAGAATTTGGAGTTGAAGCCAGTGGATGCTGCAGGCAGACAAGCGAAGGACGGATTTGGAGCTGGTCTGGGTGGGCATATGTTATGGCTGTTGTGAAAAGTTTGCAAGTTGAAGTTTGTCTAAAAACTTCTACGATGTAAATTACAACTTCTACGAATTGATGTCCACGGTGCTCGATGTGCAGGATCCATAGCCTATAACCTAATCTTTTGAGAAGTGAAGAAGTTGAAGTTCATTCATAGACAAACATCATAAGAACCTATAAAGATAACTATTAAAGCTCCTACAGACAGAGACTTTTCTGTCTGTGCGGCCGCAAAGAAACGTTCCCTCTCTAACCTTCGACCCCCGCAAGTGGAACGCCGAGTCCGGAGCCCCGCCGCAAAAGCCAGATTACACTGCCACTCTCGCTATGATGGAGGAGCTGGCAGACGGCGTGGACATGCCGCCCTTTCCGGGATCGAACTTTGTGCTGCTGAGAATCACTTTCCCAACCGCCGATGCGGAGATGGTTCATAAGGGGCCACCGGATATCTTGAAACGAAGATTTCAGAGAGTCTTTAATCAGGTACTTGATATTATGATTATATTATCTGGACATATAGCTTAATCTGGACATATTCAAAATAATAGGGACAATATCTTGATTATATTATCTGGACATATAATAGATTAATAGAATGGCATTTTTTTTATATCTCTCCTAGTTAGGACGTCGGCTCTACCATTATTAATTGGGAGGTGGTCCAATTCGCAATTATTGATGTCTTCAGAATGATAAGATTCATAGTTCTTTGGTGTGAAAAGTAGGTAACAAGTCATGTTGAGTTACAACATCAACGAACTATCTTCTACCAAGAATCACAAGAATGAAAACCCAAACACCTCCTTTGTCCATGATGAGGAAACAAACACGCAGGAGTAACCACTCGACACTACACAGGTCTGTTCCCGATTTGTCGAGTTGCGCGACTTGACTGTCGTCGGCTTTTCGTCCAACCCCTTGAGTGTGATTCTGAGGGTGGTGGAAACGGCGAAAGAAGCCGTGTTCGAGAAATTGCAGAACGATGTCTACGAAGCTCATTCAGACATGATGGTGAGTCCGGTGAACATGTTCCTAGTCAATGCTAGGGTCAGTGTGACCACGGAAGACGATGTTGTGTGGCTAGAGGGGGAGGCGGGACCGAAGGTACCTACATGAAGATCTGTTAATATGATATTTTTGTCCATTGGGTGAAGATGTTGATGTTCTCGTATTTGTATTTGGTGTTGTTGATTTCTTCTCGATTGGACAACCACGTTTGGGCGATTCATTTTTCTGCCACCGTTACAAACACGAACTAAATGCACCCACCATTACTTACGACCTCTTGCTAGCTAAATGAATGAATGAATGTCAACATTGTCACCCCTTACAGACCGTGAACGACCTCCGATCGCAAGCAGGGATGATGGGCACTGAGGAGGCGAAAACTAGTCAGCCCTTTGACGTTGCACAGAGGACCCTAACTGCGGTTGAAGCACCCGAAGACATGTCCAAAGCTTTAGTAGTATCGTCTGAAGGTAAGAAACCAACTGCTCCAAGACTTCCGGGAGTAGACGCGAGTACGCAGACGGAAGCGGTATAATACACTTGCTTTGATGGTTGTATTTTTCAAAATGTCGATGTTGTTGTTTGCTTTCTGGGAAGTTGTTGGCTATCGCTCTTAGTTATTTTCAATCTACAATTACAAAGAATCTTCTAACACGACAGGTTCGCATTTTCGCTATCGATGACCCGAAGCTGATGGAGATTCAACGTCTAGAACGGCTAGAAAAGCAAATCGAAGACAATCGAGACGCTCCAAAAATGAAGCCATTGAAGGACTTGCTGAACCCTAAGATGGATCAGGATAATTTCAGGACTGCTACGGGGTTGTTGATGCCTGATACGAACAAACAATTGGCGCAGATCGACAAGCAAATGCAAGAACGGTCGAGATTGAAGCTGCCGTTTATTATGCGTTTGAGGTCGAAATTGTTATCGTGAAATACTAGAGTTTGATTTGTTGTGATGAACATGAACTTCTCAGAATAGTACATGATGTGTATCGTCTGTGTACTTATAAAGCATCACACTCAGTTTTTTTTCACCAATCAGTTCTATGTTGAACGTCATTTTAAGTATTTAATAATCAGCATCAGGATCAACAAAGATGAAGTTGAAGAAAGCTCTAAGGGGCACGTCCAGTCCCTACTCGATGATATGGCCAAGCGGGACCCGCCTCCGGTAAAAGTCGAAGCGGTGGACTTGCCGACGAAAGAGGAGCTCCGGAATGGTGAGGTTTACTACACGTTGAATCAGCGCATCGAGGAGCGCGAACCCGGCACTCGTACCAGGTACCAGACGTTTGCGAATTACGACTTGTACAATAAGAATGCTCTCTTTGAAGAGGCAGGGAGGTTGAGGAAGCCGGCTTTGGGGAAGTTTCAGTGCACCTACAATCCCGTGAAACAACCAGCGGCGTTGAAAGTCAGAGAAGAAATGCAGAAGAGTGGGGCATTGATGAGCGCGGGGAGTAGAATTCTTGGAGGTGGTGGTGGGAAGTAATTATAAGATTCTTGACTATCTAAGGTTCAACAACTTATAAGTTAAATGTCCCACTTCTCCGAAGACGAGGAAGACAAGGATTCTCCTTTTCTTCGGATCGTTGTTGTACTTACTCTCTTCAGCTGCCTATGACGATCACCTTTTTGTTGCATCTGCAACTTTTGGAGCACAATGTTCGAGTTTTGAAGCACAATGTTCGAATTTATTATCCGCAACTTGTTTCATTGAAGTTGAAGCACATTTTACTGTCCTGTCCCTGAAATTGAATATGTTGAATCCGTAGCGAATCTGTGATCTTAAGTCAAGTTTTACAATTTCACGAGTCGCGATAGTGTGTAATTTGTTGTTGTCTGGCTGTTGTCTGGCCCACGCAAATGCCAAAACCTGGGTGATCTAGCGAACGCTGCCATCGATATGGAATCCCATGCCTTTCTTTCATGTAACTTTAATTCTTGCCTGTGTTCCACACAAGCACACACTAAATGATAAACATCCCTAGAAATAGCCTCTGTGATGGCGGAAATAGCCTCTGTTAAGGGGGAAATGGCTCCAGTAGGGTTCTGGGCTAAAAGCTGCGCAGGCAGAGGAGATAGTTGGCAACACTGGAAGCACGTTGCGCGTTTCCCATTTTTCTCGTTATTTTCTTGTGTGCAACCAAAATTTGATTCGGTTTTTGAGTCTGCACATGTTGAAGGTTGACCAAGGGAGAAACAAATATGAGAGAGCTATTGGATTCTGACAATAATGAAAATCAGTGCCATTCGGTCTACTCCCTGATGTCTGAAAAGTGACGTGGAGGGAATAGCCTCTGTGATGGGGGAAATAGGCTCTGAAAAGGAGGAAGGAGAAGCTTCTGTATAACGAGTGGGCCTCTGAAAAGGAGGAAAGAGAAGCTTCTGTATAACGAGTGGGCCTCGGAAAAGGAGGAAAGAGAAGAAGCTTCTGTAGAAGGAGTGGAGCGAAGGCATCAGTCCTATTTGAGCCGATATTTGGTGTTTATCACCAGATGTATGATAAAGGATCTCTGTCCAAATCCTGAGAACAATCTGACTTGTGATGTTCGCCCTTGAGTCTGATGTCAGTATGAGAATAATAGAGGGAATCATATGCGAATATACTCTATGCTCAAGGAGTTCTATCTGTCGTGTTTTGAGGCCTGGAAACGTCTGTCCCCATAGAGAGACTCACGTGAAGTATGCTACTTGTAAATCTTCATTTATA